TCACATGCGGAACAGACTTAAACAATCTGCATGCTAGCCTGACTCAAACGGTAGTCGGTAAAGGCTCATCAAACCCGTTGATGGCTGAGGATTTGCCAAAAATTCTATAAATGTGAGTAATTGACGCATCAGCTCCGTTAGTTGGTCTCATGACTTGATTATCCAACAACATTAAGATAAGATCCACACATGCAGATGAATCAGCTTTAACAGTTGGTCCTGCAGCCCCGACACTTGGGACCACCATGCTCCAATACCTTAAGAGCTTAAACTGTGTATACTCAAACAAACGTACGAGTATAAACTGTATTAACGTCGGGCGATCCGAAACCCTAGGTCAACGCCAGTCAACGCGTTGCAGTCAAAAGTCAACATAAGAAGATTTAAACCCTAAGGTCAACGCCGGTCAATGCGTAACCCTAGGTCAATGCCAATCAATGCGTTGCAATGAAAGAGTCGATGTGACGGAGAGGGTCAGTTCTAAGTCAACGCAATGACACGAGCCAAACTCAACTCATCAGTTTTAGACTCGAGACTCCGACGACGGCCAGACGATAAATGCAGCGCCGGAAGGACTTCAGCTATTCGTCAAAGCATCGAATATACTGAAAATCGAAGGAGCCAAGAGTCGAAGCTAACTATAGGTCCTTTACACCGATCAAAGACTGGACCAATCACATCCAAAGTATTCCAGCCTCTTCTATAAAAGAAACGAGTCTGGAACGCTTTGGAGGGGGTATCTGTAGGCATCGAAAATTACCTATAGGTCTCTGTGAGCAGCTCAAAGCTAAGAGGAGGTGAGGAACGTCACTATCCAAGTCACAGAAGCTTGATTGACGTCGATGAATGCACGAAGTGAGTCGACGGGCCATGCGAAATGACGGAACTTGTAGAGTAATTTTGGACATGATCTGATTCGAATCTGAAGAAACTTAAAACATAAAAGTTGTAGATCTCCTCGTTATCTTTCCAATACATCTTGGATAAGATTATTTAGAGGTCATATGAGAAAGTTATGACCAAAATACCCGAGACACTCATGGCCGAGACACTCACAAGTGTCTCGGACATGGCCGAGACACTCACAAGTGTCTCGGACCTTGTGGAGCTATTTTGACCATGATTATATTCAAGAAACTCAAAACATGAAAGTTGTAGATCTCCTCGTTATATTTCCAATGCATCTTGGATCAGGTTATTTGGAGGTCATATGAGGAAGTTATGATCAAAATACCCGAGACACTCATTGGTGTCTCGGCCATGGCCGAGACACTCACAAGTGTCTCGGACATTGTGGAGCTGTTTTGACCATGATTAGATTCTAATCTGAAGAATTTTAAAAGATAAAAGTTGTAGATCTTTTTGTTATCTTTCCAACACAACTTGAATCACCTCATTCGGAGGTCGGATGAAAGAATTAGAGCAAAAATACTGAAGAGGGTACAAACTATCTCGCACATGTGCGAGACACCCCGAATTGTCTCGCACTCTTGACGTGTGTTTGACGGTTTTCGATCAGTTTTGACGGTTTCAGAGCCTCCCCAACTGCTTTGGGGTTATCTTTAAATGTGATAAAGTGGTTATAATTGAAGATAAGAGGGAATCAACCATTCCTATCCAAACACAGGGCTCCTGAAGCCTATAAATACAGCCCCAGGACTCTCATTTTTTCAGAGCTGGAATTCTCGAGCGTTGGCGAAGCCCTGCCAAATTGAGGAGTGAAGAACCACGAATTTCAGAGAGGAGGAGGAGACTTCAGCGGATTCTTCGTGATAAAGAAGAGGAGTTCGTCAGATCTGCAGCCCGGTTCGTCCCTTAAGATTACCCCGTTGCGGTAATCTTAAGAAGAGCAATTATCTCGCTGTTGTCGAGATAAACGCTACGGTTTCTTGATTGCTTCGCGAATCAATGAAGCTCTGCCTAATTTTTCAGCAATCAGAGGAGACTTCAGCGGATTCTTTGTTATAAAGAAGAGAAGTTCGTCAGATCTGCAGCCCGATTCGTCCCTTAAGATTACCCCGTTGCGGTAATCTTAAGAAGAGCAATTATCTCGCTGTTGCCGAGATAAGCGCTATGGTTTTTTGATTCCTTCACGAATCAACAAAGCTCTGCCTAAATTTTTCAGCAATCAGATCTGATCGATGGTGGTCCACGGATATCAACATCCCCGTCACATGCCAAGATCCCACGCAAGCAGAAGACCGATAAACGATCTCTGCGTTTGTTTGATAAAGTTATAAACCTTTTTTATTTTTATTGTGTAAGGAGATCTTATAAAAAGATCAACCTTTTATTTTATTCGAGTTTATTGTAACGACTAAAGTTATAATAGATTCGATAGCAATGAAAACAACAACTTTCGACGCAAACAGTTCCACGATCATATCTATTGGAGGATGGAAGGAAAATAGTGGAATGAAGCCTATGCATACTAATCAAGATCCAAGTTCAAGCTTCTTCCATGTTTACCAAGTCAATCATATTGAAGATCTATCAAGCTTGAGTAAATTAGTTTAGGGTTTATACTTTGTGTGTTAATATCTTAAGCTCAATATTATGCACACACAATTTAATGGTTTATGTGTTTTATCCATAAAATTTTTTGCAAACAAATAGATATATAATACTTATTTGTTTTCTATGTGGATAAGTTATTTTGGTTTAGCTATATAGATATGAAACAATATATATCTTCATTTTCACATTTATGTGTTTCATATTCTATTGAAATTGTAAAATATTATGTTTATGGATTGAAGACTTATTTACACTATTTTCATATATTGTATAAGTCTTTAAATCCATTCTAAAGTGTTTTAAAGTTTTGTTTAAGTCATTTTGGGAAAATCAAGTTTTTAACATGTTCATACTTATGTGATTTTGTAAAATGATGAGATTTCACATTTGGGAGGTGCTTTTTAAAAACCAGTTTTTGTAACATGTGTATTATCATGTCTACAATCATTTCCCAAAGTTTTATAATTTTTAGAATTTGTTTACTATTTTTAAAGACAGTTTGAATATCAGGTTTCTGCTTTAAACAGGCTGTATACTTGTTATCAGTCGATCGATCAGTCGACTGATGAAAGTGCCTGCAGTTACCAAAAAGTTTCTGTTTTGTTTTGGTCGACTGATGATCCATCAGTCGACTGATGAGCTAAAAAATACCTACAACGGTCAGCTCATCAGTCGACTGATGAAACCCATCAGTCGACTGATGGCATGTAACGACTATTTTTCCAGTTTCTATTTTTTTTTGTCATTTTACTGGATTTCACTTGGGGTTTGAGCTTTGTTTCTTCATCCTATATATACCTATACCATTTCACTTCTGAACTAAGAAGAGAAGTTTTAAAACAAGTTTAAAAAGAGTTTTAGTTTGTTTTAAGTGTTTGTTTACAAAATTAGTTTTGTGAAGATTGTTTCACAAGAAGAGGAGATCAATTCCAGTTTGGGCTTTCAATCTTCCTATCCTTCTCTCTTGTGATTAGAGAAGTGTTTCTAAACTCAAATCTCTAGCTTGTTTATGCTTCAATTTTTATATTCATATTTGCTAGATTTAATTGAGTTTATATTTGATTTTTCTCATTGCTTGCACATACAACCATTGAGCTTAACTATTTTCACATATTGTATAATTTGGGGTTGTGGTGAGTGTAACCTTGAGAGTGAGCTTAAATTGTGTTCTCACCTATTGTAGAGAACAATTTATTTGTATTGTGCTTAATTATGAGTTATACGTTTTATCACACTTGTACACCGAGAGGAGTATGTGGTGAGAGACGAGGTGGTCCCAAGAGGAGTAGCGTCGGTAGTTTTCAAAATTTCTCCAAAATCATTTGTAAAGAAAAGGTAAATAGCATATTTTCAATTTATTTTCAAACTGACAAACACCTCTAAGGGTCTGTTTGTTTGCCTAAAAAAAGAGGAAAATCAAAGAATAGGAAACCTATTTCTAAGAAAAATTGTTTTGAGATTGTTTGGTTGGCTAAAAAAATAAGGTATTCAAAGAATGAGATATGAGATGAGATGAGTTGTCACATTATTATTGGATGATGTGAGTGATTTTTGAAGAAAACTTATTTTGAGGTTGTTTGGTTATTAGCTAAAAAAAAAGGAAATGAATTATAAGAAACATATTTCCTGTAATAGGTTCTTTTCTTGTGTTTGGTTCATTCTTAAAAATAAGAAAATAGATGAGATGAGATGAGTTGTCGTTACATTATTGGATAATGTGACTCACACTTAAGGAAATTAATTTCCTTAGTTTTTTTGAGGAAATGGGTGGAAATGAAATGTTAATGAGATGAGATGAGTTGTCACCATATTATTGGATGATGTGTGTGATTTTTAAAGATGAGATGAGATGAGTTGGATGATGTGACCTATTTTTTGTGTTTGGTTTATTTTTAGGAGATAATAAAAGATAAGTTGTGAGATTAAAATGATATTTTATTAGATATTGTGGTGAGTTTTAGGAATGGAAATAGATAAAAATAATTAATTTCTATGTATCCTTTTTTTTCTTGATTTTTAGGAAAGGAGAAATTTTCACTGTAGACCCATTCTCATATTTAATCCCTAAAACCGACCCACTTTAAAGTTATTTATGAGAATCGACCCACTTTGAGTTAATTACGGTACTAATTAGTCGGGGTTGCCAATCCCGACTAATTAGTAGCCTAATTAGCAGTTGCAAACCTCAATACTCCCTGACCCCGCTTGTAATTAGGCTACTAATTAGTTGGGATTGACAACCCGACTAATTATTACCGTAATTAACTCAAAGTGGGTCGATTCTCATAAATAAATTTAAAGTGGATCGGTTTTAGGGATTAAAACTGAGAGTGAGTCTACAGTGAAAATTTCGTCTTTTGGGAAACCAACCAAACAACCCCAGAGGTGAAACAACTGAAATTACTAGAGGGGACCCAACTCCGATACACTCTGTGGGATCCACCGCAGATTCAGCTCAGAATCCAAGTCCTCGCGTCCCATTTTCCGCCACTTTTCCCTTCTCTTTCCTCTTCCAACCCAATTCCCCCACGATCTCCGAAACCCGCGGAATTTTCTCCTCGACCAACAATTTCCCCAAAAATAAACCAAACAAACAAATGCGATGGGTTCGTCCCTTGATTGCTTCATCCTCCTTTGGCGATCGCAGAGCTAAACAAACCATCGGAATCCATGGCCGGCGACGAGATCGCTCCCGGTTCCAACCCTAATCTCTCCTCCGTCGCCGATTCGGCCGCTGTTCACTGCTTAAGGTATTGAAACTCGATCTCTTTTCTTTGTTTGATCTTCTATGCGTATGACGAAATCGTATAGTGTAGATGTTTCAAATCATTACATCAAGGCTTATTTGCACTTTGATACCCCAAAGTTTCACCTAATTTTGTCTTTATAATCCCAAAGTTTTGTTTCGATAATTTTGATACCCAATGTGCACAAAAGCTGGCGTTAATTTTGTTTACAAGAATATTAATGTAGAAAAGTGAATTTGAAAAAGGAAAATTCTTACCAATATCTTTTTTTTTTTTTTGGGGGGGGGGGGGGGGGGGGGTGAAGTTAGGAGTTTGGGGTATCAAGTTGTCAAAGTAAGGCCAATTTGAAAGCTTTGGGGGTGTCAAATTGGCAAAATAAAAATGGGCGAAACTTTGGGGTGTCAAGTAGCCAAAATGGGCTGCTCTTAAGCCGTCGGTAAAAGTAACAAATCAAACAAGTTTGATTCATATTTTAGAAGACTAATTTATCTAGATTTATTTATGTATAGGTTTGGTGATATTTCGAAGATATTGAATGATTCGATTATGGATTTGAATGGTTGATCGGGCTAGTTCATAATAAGATTTGAGCTCACCAGCTCATAATATCATTACTCTCTATCTTTCTTTATAAATATGGAAAAAGGGTATGATGTGGCCGATAAACTGGTGGTGATGGGCCAATAGTGGTAGTCATATAGGAGTACGTGGATAGCACCATTCCTATCTCTTGACATCCCATTAAGAAATTAGTCGGTAGCTTATATTCAGTATCATGTGTGCTTGTGCACGCTAGTGTATGTGTGCGTATTAAAATGGTATTAGATGTGGGGGCTTATTTTGCTAATGAGCTGCAGATTGATACACTAGTGGTAAGGCCCATCTTTCTTGTCTTGTCATGGCTGATGGATCTCACCACATGTATCTCTTGACATCTCATTTTTCTAAATGAGGTGGCAGCGCATGCCTAATATCCTTCCTGTACAGAGACAGATACCCTCAAAGTATGCGATTGGAATTACAAGCTTGTATCAGGCCCTCATTCAATTGTACTTTCAGATTTCTTTAACTAAATCCCATAAAATTACAGCAAACTATAATTGTTTTTTCAATAATTTCATGAACTTTATAATTTACAGTAAATTACCACGACTCTTCCGAAAAAGTTCAGAAAGAAATTTCATAGTGGCCGTTGTACCTTTTGCACTTTTGTATGAAAGGTAGGAAGGCTGTGATACTTCTATGTAATTATTTTTGATTTAATTATATGATCAGATTAAGGATAAAATCACTATGGTTTTACTTACTTTTTATAGTTCTAGTAAATCCCAATCATCAGGAGTCGTGTATTACTATAGAAAAACAGACACTGTTATGTTTACTTAAATTGTTGTGCCCAATCCTACCATTTTAGGAATTTCTTGTGTTGCCCTGTTTGCATCATGCTGTATATGCTTACTAGATTATATCTGGTGTGACAAGCTAGTGTTCCATTTGGTTGTTCTGCGCACCATGTATCGTTACAACAAAAGTTTTCTTGTGTTCGTAGTAGCTATTGGATTTGCATTCTAAATGTATATATTCTAAGCCAACATCTCAAGCTAAAGGTGAGAATAGTGGGTTTTTATGCTCCCAGCAAAGAGGGTTCTTCGGGTCTGGGTGATGCTAGAAGTATCATGTTTCCTCTACGCACCTGACCTAGGAATAGATATTATCATAAAGAAGCAGATAGAATAAATTTATTTGGAAAATTACATTGCAGGAAGTTATTAGGTTTCTATTAAAAGATTAAATCAGTATTACTAGGCCCTAACAAATATAGAAAACATTTTTGCTAACTGCAGAAGTTTATTGTGCAATTCCACCCGAAAATTTTCAATGAAGAACCTTTTTCTTGTATCTTTGCACTTTCTTCTTGCTTTCTTGAAACAGTTCTGACACGATGTGCAAAAGTGACAGTTCTTCTCTTCAATCACTCTCCAGCGAAAATTCTCAAATAAAAGAGGCAACTGACAAAAATGGAGTTGATTTGTTCTTTGATAACTTCTTCTTCGGGCACAACAGGAAACCCTCAGGAGACGCAACCACTCCTGATCAAAATTCCAGCCCTCAAGAAGTTGCTTCCATCTCTCAAGAAATTGCTCCCATCTCTCCAGTAATTGCTCCTGTCTCAGATCCTAACCTTCAGCTATCTTCCATTGCAGATTCCGTCATTGCTCGTTGTGCAGGGTATTTATTCTATCTATTTCCTTTTATTTGTCCTGTTCCATGCAGTATTTATTCTAATGAATGCTATTAAAAAAAGTAAAAATATCCAAACTGAAATTTATGACTACCATAGATATTTTGATTCGCTTTTATTTTTACCAGTATTGGGTGTTTTGAAAGTTTGCAATTTCGGGGCAGAATACTGGGACTTGGCATCAGTGAATTTAATCACAAGCTTTCTTTTCATTGATTCTTCTTTTTCCTGCTGTAACACTATCAATCAGCTTTTGATACCTCAATACTCATAATTCCTCTTCTATGCTATTGCCATATCAACTTATAGTAGACGTGTAGCCAATTTTGTGGTATTGGACAAATTTCGATGAAACAATCCATGGTATATATATGTTGATGTTCACTGATATTTCTAACCATGAGCACAAGACCATTAGTTTGGCAAAAAAGAAACAAATGGGCGTAGTGCTAAGTTGAGATATCCAGTGTGATTTTATTCAGTTTTGTTAGGTCTTTTAACATCTGAACAATGACAAATTTTACTTCGTCCATGCAATTTCAGGCTTCTTTTCCTGTCAATTGAAGAGCTCCAACAATCTTTCAGGACTAAGTTTTCTAGCCATGTAAGGTGGTATTCGACATATGCTAGGAATCTTTTAGAGTATTGCTGCTTTAGAGCTCTTCATGCAACAAGTAAAACTCCGGACTGTCTTGCTGACAAGAAGTTTCGCCTATTAACATATGATATGATGCTCGCATGGGAAGCCCCCGATCCAGAGAGTGAATCTATGTTGAATGTGAGGCACCTGCACTTGTTTTAATTGCATATTTGCAGATAGTTCTTGTTTATCCTTTAGGCTTAAATCATCAGATAGTGTTTTATTTCCTATGTTGCCAAACAATCCTTGTTGATGACCAGAAGTGCTGATGGCTGCACACACCTTGCAATATCGTTTCCTCTATGGTTAAAATTTAGTCATTGCTTAATAGGTTTTCTGATGCGTGGACATATCTTTAACCAGTTCTTATTTCTTAACTATAACTCCTCTTTCTTCCTGGTTCAACTTTTACCATTGTTTACTATGTACTTTGATGGCTACGCATGCATTGCAATTACTCTTCTTCCAGGTTCAGCTTTTTATCATTGTTTACTAGGTATTTTGATGGCTGCACATACATTGCTATTATATCCTTCTCTATTTCCCATTTTGTGCTCCCTTCTATGTATGTTCACTATGTTTTATAACTTTAAAAACTCTTAATTGTGTTTGACTACAATGTTGGAACCATTTGTTTAATAGGAGACTTCTAGCTGTAAACATCAGGAAGCTTACGAGGATGATGGATCATTATACTACATCAGTTCTACAAACATGGCTATTCAGGTTCGTTGTTCATTTATGACCTGTGTCTTTTCTTCTTCTTTGAACATGCATAATTAAAATCACAGATTCTTTTGGTTTGGTATGATTGACATATAAGCTAACTATTATCAAATATGTTCTTCTCTCTCATCAGGTTGATAACAAGAAGACAGTTGGATTGGAAGCTTTTGCTCGAATAGCTCCGGCATGCCCTGCCATTGCTGATCCAATCACTGTCCATAACCTGTTTGATGCGCTGACATGCTGTTCAGGTGGCAGACTTCATTTTCTTATTTACGACAAGTACCTCAAAAGCCTAAATGAGTATGTGAGCTATCAGTGATGAATTTCCAGTAAAAACTTTTACCTTTTTTCATTTGTTCTCTAAATGTTTGAGATTTTTTTAAGTTAATTATAGTTCCAGTCAGCTAAATATAGATCCTTGAAGTGTGGTTTCCATTTTTCTCTAAATATTGTGGCTTCTTTTTTTCTCAAAAAACTGTTTGCTTCTGTTGCTTCACTAGTCATCTGTGAGGAATGCGTCTCTCTTGAGGAAAAGCAATAAAAATGTTTAGTTTAGACTTATAAACTAACTTATTCATCTTGAGACTTGTTATAGGAATAACTATCTTGTAGAGTTTAAAGGTTGTTAATTGCCAAATATTAAAATTTCATTAATCCATGAGATGAACCAAAACTTTTTCAGCACCTGTCTATAGTGTGATGATTCTCAGACTTTTACCAAATCTGTAATTATCTCCCTACCAATCCACCTGCTTTCTGATTGCATCTAAAGCAGTTCAGAGGCCTTTTATCGTACATCGTTTGTATCAGAACTTGAAAGCGATTTAAAGAGTTTTTTATGGTTGCTGTAAAATCTTAACTTTGCAATGATTTATGGTTTAATGGTTTGTAAGTAAAGGTTAAGATGTTCCCATTGGAAGAGAAGTGGAGAAGTGATGTTCCTGTGTAAAATAAAACTTCAGATTGTTTAGTCCAAAATGGCATTCATTCAATTGAAAGAAAACTTATCTTTTCAGTTCAAAATAGTCCGTAATCCAGTTAGTCTAAAATTATCTTCGACTTTTATTTAGTTCTTGGAAGTACATAGTTGGGTTCTTAGAACGTAGAGCTTCTTAATTCTGATATATTACAATACTTTTTTCGCACATCCCTGGAGACCTTGTGCCTTGAGTAGGGATAGAACCGAACCAAATAATTAACAAATAATTTGTGTATTATTCGTCCAAATATTTGGTTATAATCGATTTGATAGTTCATCAGTAAACCAATAGATTTTAGTATTTGGTAGCTTGGTTCATAAACAAACAGAAACTAACCAAATGTATTTTATTCGTTTAACTATTAAACATTCGTTTATGTAAACTGCTAAAATAACTTTGCCATGATGGATAACTAGATGTTAAATGACTAAATCTACAGAAGAATTACGATGTTCTTCTGCTTTTGCATTACTATATTATATATTTTATGTTTCTGTTTATATAACTTTATAAATATTACTATTCATAAATATATAAATTAATAATTTATTAAACTATAAATATAATAAATTTTAAATATAATAAATTTTATAGGTACATAATAATAGTTAACTAAAATGTCAAAAACAAAAGTTAGCATAGAATGTAAAATATATGATTCGAACTCATGACCTTTATTCAAGATTCACAAGACTTAACCAAGTTTGCTACAAAAATATTCACGAATATATAGTGAATACTCAGATAATTAATCGAATCGAATTTGAACACTTCTTCCGTCTTTGACTCAGATTCAAATTCAAATTTGCTTGATTCAAATTCTAATAATTATATTCAATTTGATTTGATTTGTTTCCACCCCTAGCTCTTAGGTTCATCATATACAATATATATATATATATATATATATATATATATATATATATATTATATATATATGTGTGTGTGTGGTGTGTGTGTTGTGTATGTGTGTATGTGTGTGTGTGTGTTGGTGTGGGCGCGCACGCGTGCCTGAGCGCTTGCGCGTGCACGTTTGGGCGCTGGTGTGTAGACGCGCGGTGGCGTGTGTGATTTGGGGGGCGGGGGGAGAATTTGGTGCTTGGCAGTGGCGTGACCACCTTCACTCATTTAATGGGTGATTTAATAGGTGGGCTAATCAATTGGGTACCAATTTTAAATGAGGATCAATTTGTGTCTTGGTACCAAGCATACCCATTATTCTTTATATATATATATACATACATACATATATAGACACACACATAGACATATACACATATAAATATAAATGTATGTATGTATATGTATACACACACATATGTATGTATGTGTGTGTGTATGGGTAAGGTTACAATATACTTAGGTGGTAACTAACTTAGTTACACCCACCTGTAAAAGCTCATGTTGAGCATCAATATTAATGATCACACCGTTCATTATGATCTACATGTTAGCAAATGAGTGTAGATCAAGTATCATGTTTCTTGAGATTTTCTATCCTATAATTCAAACAACTTAAAATAGCGGGCATTTTAGACCATTACAGACCATTCATTTCTAGGCCACTAGATGTGTAAACTAGAAATATCTTATCTATGTGATATTTTTTATCTCCATGGAGTTTTGGACACAGATCATAATGAATAGTGTTGATTGTTAATATCGACACTCAAAACATGGTGCTTTATAGGTGGGTGTAACATATATATGTGCGTGCTTTGTGTGTGTTCTTTGATAGTTAATTAAAATTGGATGAACTAAGAAGAGGGGCAATATTTCATTTTATTTATTGGCAAGTTACAGGGGAAAATGCTTAACGCTCATGCTAGTAACTATGTGCTTGTACTGTTTGAGAGCTCTGGCTAATATGAGTAGTGTTGAGCGGCTATATGCTGCTCGAAAGTGCTAAGGATCACGATAGCCAAAAATTAATCTAACTTTCAGAGGTCATCAGTTATTCCTCTTTCCTAACTGCTGTCTACAAAACTGTATATACGTTAAGCAAAAACAAAGGCATGAGTCATACAAAAAAGTGGAAACAGGGAAGACAAAATCTTTTACTTCTGAAATAAGTGCTCATGATACATATCTGATATTTGTTGCTTTCAATTTATCTTTTCCGATGAATTAGAGACCTAGAGTTGGCATATCTAGTTAAACGAACATAATTGAGTCCTAATCAATTACTTTTTCATGATTCCCTTATACCTCCCATTATGAAGTGTTTGAGAATATGACCAGTGATTAATTTTCGATTCATGTTTACTATGCGAAAATGGTTAGAGCTATAACTAATTGCAGAAAATAGTAGTAGTTTAAAAACTACAGAAAAATGACATTATGCTTTTGGACGATTTTTTATGGGGATTAAATCTAAGTAAGCAATCAGAACAAAGATATGGCACTGTGTTTTTTCTTTGATTGTAGTGCCTCCACAGCCAAATCCAACACCAAGCATATGCTCCCACCCCCACCCCCCCACCCCCCAAAAAAAAAGAAAATCCTCAAAAGGGGGGAGAAACACAGATTGCCCAACAACAGCAGCAAAACACCCCTTGAGCCAGTGCACTAAGGAGATGATTTTCATACCTCAGCCACAGTGCTTCCTCATATTTAGACTTCTTCACTTACAGTGTTTGAATAGGTGCATATCACACACTGTAGCTATTTTGTAAATTGTGTTTCATATAAGACATTGCTGGCAACCAAAGGTCTATTCCAGCTCTATCTAGCTGTATCTAGAGCCACTGTAAATCCACTTGTGGATTATTATCACATCAGTCAGATTATGTGGAAGATGATAAATGCTACTTGATGGCCTGCTGCTGTGCCTACATTGCCCAAATTGAGGCATTTGTTGTTGTATCCATACTGTTTTTTATCTAGCTGCAGCAAAGAGGGTGATTTTTGAAGCTTTTGCTGTGTAAGGGACCATATTTAATAAAGCAAATGCTGGTTTTGTCATCCTTAGATGCATTCTTTTGGCTCGCATCTGAATAGAGAGGACATAAATTACATATGCTGGTTACTTATTGATCTCGATATGGAGATGCTTTATAATATCTGCATAAACCCTTCTAACATTTTGAATGTGGATACTGATATCCATTATGTTTTATATACTATATTACTGTTGTCAAATGGGTGCATGCGCCTATCATGCATAAAATGTCTGTTCTGTATATATGTCTATAATGTATTAATATCAACGAAAGACATGGATATCTGCCCATGCATATTGATGTTTAAATTTAATAGAAATAAATTATATCACTGATTAGCAGGATTCACGCCTCTTCCAGGGCAAAGAGGCTTTTTCTGTTCCAGCCACTAAAGGAAGATAATAGGTGTTATGTAAAAAACATCATATTATTATTATTTCTTCTTCTTAGTTTAAGGAGATGCTGTTATTTTCCATGTAAATAGGTTTTGTATTTGAATGATTACTCTTGTGAATCATAATCCGGCATTCACTTCAAGCTTTAGCCGTGTAGGCTAAGATTTGACATATTTATTCATTTTATTTTTCTAAGGATATATTCATTTCCAAGTATACCAAATAATATTCTCCATCAATATTGTATACCAAATAATATTCTCCATCCATATTGTATACCAAATAATATTCTCCATCCATATTGTGTTCGATACTTGAAACATAGATATGAGTATGGTTATTTCAATATCTTTCTGTATCCACATTGTTTGCACTGACAACAAGCAGTTTAGGGCAATAAAGGGGGTCCCTGAGTCACAGGGACTTCTATAAGTAAAACTCTATTTAGTTCATCCAGGCCTAATTATTCATATGCTCAAAGCTACCCAAGCTAAGTAACAAATTATATATGTAGATGATAGTTCATATATAATTCATATGACAAGTAAATTCCTTTGTGTGAGTAGTTCTTCTTATTTTTGTTGATAATTTTCTCAGAATTTATAGAAGGAACGTAAATTGTACTCATCTTTGTTGAAAAATATTTTATTTAACATGCCACTATCAACATATTAGGGTAACTTTTTTGTAGATGATGACTTTGATATTGCTCCTCTCTTGTCTGTTTCTTGTTGTAGAACTCTGAAGTCTGTTAAAAGTACAACAAGATCACGACTCAATTCAAATCTTCGCCTTGCAGAAGGAGAAATCATCTTAGATGTTGACGGTTTCATGCCCACTAAACCTATTTTGCAACATATTGGAATATCCACATGGCCTGGTTAAGCATCTCTCCTATGGTAATTTGCTTAATGCTAATGAAGTATTTTCCGTGCCAGCAGTCTAAGACGAAGTTTATTTATGGCAGGAAAGTTGATTCTTACTAACCACGCTCTTTACTTCGAGCCGCTAGGGGTTGTTTCATATAATAAAGCCATCAGATATGATTTGGCAACAGATTTGAGGCAAGTGATAAAGCGTGAAATGACTGGACCATGGGGTGCTCGTCTCTTTGATAAGGCTGTGATGTATAAATCGAACTCTCTGTAAGTGTACATTTTCCGGAGTTTATTTCTATGTATTACCAAGTATAGCATCAAATTATCATTCTGTTGGACAGGTAAGTCTATCTTACTGCATTTTTTTCTTACAGAGCAGACCCCATTTTTTTGGAGTTTCCTCAGCTTATAGGCCATTCACGCAGAGACTACTGGTTTGCAATCACTCGGGAAGTTTTTCACGTTCATAGATTCATCAGAAAGTTCAATCTTAGTCAGATTCAGATGGCAGAAGCTCTTTCAAGGGCTTCTTTAGGCATCTTTCGTTGTCGTGCTCTTAAAGAGGCCTTCCATGTTGTTCCTTCCCACTTTAAGACCACACTTGCATTTAACTTAGCTGAAAAACTCCCAAAAGGAGACAAGATTTTAGAGGCTTTATATCATCAGTTGGAGCTTTTATGCACCAAAATCAACATCGATGCTTCAGCTAACTATTCACCTAATGAAGTGCAAAGGAGTGATTCTTTTCCAGTTTCATTTTATGCTCTTGCTAAAATGGGTTTTCATTCACTGGAGGGAGAAAACTGGTCTAAAGAAGCAGAGCTTCTAGTTGCAGATGCTCATGTTGGTGAAATATGTCCACTCCAAAAGGCTGTTCAAGAATCACTTGGTTACTCTTGTAAGGCTGAGGCAGCACGGGCAACACTGGATCAGGTCAAAGTAGAAGATATTGAGACAAACCTTGCTGTAATAAGGGTATGTTTCTGTTGGCATTTTCAGTTTCTTTTAAATCCAGTGCTGCTCAAAAGGGTTGGAAGAGATGCAGATGATATAGATAACACAATCCTTATGGGTGTCAAAATCAGTCTTCTGATACTTATATCATTCAGTAATGCTTATATTCTGTGAAAGGTGGAAAATTCCATCCTTGTCGTCTACAACTTTGTAAAATTCCTGTACACATGCATGGGAACTAAGTCATATTGCAGCTTTACGGAACTAGTTTATTACACATATAACAGTCCCAATATATATGACTGGCAAGTAATTATTTGCTGACAAAATGTGCAAATAATTGTGGTGCATGCACATATCTATCTTTCATATGGAAAATGGAGTCGTGTTTAGAATTGTCAATCAAGTATACAGAACATCAATTCTTTTCTAGATACTTAAGTATATACATCAGTCATGCTGCAACTGTTAAAACTAATGTATAGCACCAACTAGTTGGCGGCAGGACTTAGCTGCAATTTGGAATTACAAGTTCAGGATAGTGGGATGCAAAAGGAGAGGAATTTCCTCCCTTTTAAATGGAGATTTTCAGGGGTTCACACCTTAAAATATATCTAATAATTTGAACTGGGGGCCTACTCTTAGCCTCTCTCTCTCTCTCTCTCTCTCTCTCTCTCTACCCATGTAAAAAGCTCTCTTTTGTACAAGTATCCCACCTGTTTCTTTTTCTTAAAGTGCTATATACTTATAGAAGTTTAAACATGATGTCGAAAACTTCAGTTTTTAAGTTTACACCAGCTGAACCCTTGAATTGACATAAAAGATTACACATCTGACAAGTATCTGTTCTCTTAATTTGAGAAGAGTTTTTGAAAGAAAAAAAAAGTATGATAACCTTGTATGTTTTAAATGCCAATAAGTTCAGAGAGTGGAGAAGCATTATAACTGTGTTTTGTACTCTTTTTGCAGGAATTACTTTTTCCATTGTTTGAATCAGGCAAAAGACTCAATTTCCTAGCAGGGTGGGAAGATCCATTAAAATCGACTATGTTTTTGCTTTTTATCTTTTATGTCATTTACAGGTAATATTGTTGGTCTTAGTAAATTTAAGTTCAAGATGTTATTTAGAGTATGAATGAACATAACATTTATTTTCCATCTTGTTGCCCTTTCTTGCATATAATTACCAATCAATAGAAAAGCTGTGAATGCTAAATCTTTATCCTGCCATGCCTCTACAGCTTGACTTCTCCAACCTTTGAATGGTGCTAGAAGAAGTATCTCATGTGTGTATATATGGACCTGATTAGTTGAAGGATAGGAATTTGTTAAATGCCATGTCCGTTCCATTCCCCTACATACTGGTCAATTTTTCAGAATACAAATCATTTTGTTGTTGCTGCATTTCATGCATTTTACTTTGAATTCCTATGATTCTTCCCTAAATCTCTTTACTATACTCATCCCCTCTCCCAATTGGTGCATTCCTGTACATGTCACTTCTAAATTTTACCATTATGCTACTATGAAACCTTTTTATACCTAACTGGTGTTCTTTCAATCTTTATTAAGTCTTTCTTATGTATGTAACTTAACACTTGGTTTTAACTTTATTAGTATTAAGTAACTTTATTATTGTTATGATATAGGGGTTGGATCGGATACCTCTTACCTTCAACTTTCTTGTCATTTGCACTTATCATGCTCTGGCACAAGATTTTCAGCAAAGGAAAGCAGATTGAAGCCTTCCAAATCACGCTGCCCCCTAATAGAAACCCTGTCGAGCTGCTTTTGGCTTTGCAAGAAACCATCTCTCAGTTAGAAACAAGTGTCCAAGCAGGATGTATTACTCTTCTCAAGATCAGAGCTCTTCTATTTGCCGCATTTCCAAAGGTTTGATTCTTCGCTGTCAGTCACTTAAATTGACACACCAGTTTTACACACCAGTTTTTTGAATTCTTTGCGAATATAACATGTGAAAATTATATAGGTGTATCTAACGTACTATTGTCTGCTGATTTTTGTTGCATAAAATTCTCAAGCTACTATTGTTATTATTATTTATTATTACTGTGAAAGTGCAAAAAGCTCATCCATATATTATGTAGATTAGAACATAAAGAGACGCCTATGGATCGCCAAAGTAGGGATTCAAATACTCCCAGTTCCTTTTAGATGATTCAAATCAAGGTTGTTGATAGCGGATCGCGTCGCGTCGCGGCGAGGTACCGCTTAGGCTATTGCGGGCTATTGCGGCAAAATAGCGGCAAATAGCGCACAGTCAAATAGCGGTCAAATATTAATATATTTAAATATTCTAAATAATAAGAAAAATCATATAAAAATCTAAAAATCCTATAAATGCATACATGATGCCTATACATGAAATAGATGTGCGATAATTACATAATATTAACAACATACTATAATTATAAGGATTAAAGAATGAAAAAACGTACCTGTTTATCCAAAAGACTGTTAGTTGTCTTTCTTCAACTTTCAAGTCTCTAATATAAAAATGCTCAACAATAAAAAAAAATCATTGATTAGTATCATCATCATCATATTAAATTAAATGGATTTACATGCTCATAACTGTTTAGGTGAAATACTAGATAGCTAAGAACTTATTTATATTCTAAACAAACTTCCTCTTCCCATCAAGAAAACAGACAGAACAAGTTTATCGTCAACTTATTTAAAAATTATAACACACTTTGTCAGTGACATCCGAGCAAATTCAGAAGAGAAAAATCAGAAAATGAAACCTCTTCTTTCTAGAAAGTCTGAAAGTGTCTCATATAGCAACAATTAAAATGAAAGTGAAGACAGGAAAACTAGAAGTGAGAACATTGAGAAGGTTTAAAATGAAAGAGAAGAATGGGAAGCTATTTTACCTTTACCTCTGTTGCAGATCTAGCCAACAGAGATGAGATGACGCTGGGAGCTTGAGCTGTTGGAGACTTGAGGGAAGCTTGTTGGAGACTCGGAGTTCGGAAGTCGTCTCGTCGCTGGGAGCGGAAGTCGTTGGAAACGCTGGCTGGACTCGGAGAGCGGAAGTCGCTGGAACGCTGGAAAGGAAAAAAGGGGTTCGGGAGTGGCTGGAACGGAGCTCTGAGGAATTAGGGTTGCGTTGTTGTGGAGCTCTGAGGAAGACAATCGTCGTGGGAGAAAATCGTCGTGGCTGGAACGGAGAAGATCCGCTTTCGGCTAGGGTTCGGGAGTGGGAGAGAAAAAATCATCTTTTATCTGGTTTTAACAAGTCGGGTTTGGGTTCGGGTCGGGTTCAGCGCGAAAACAATCGAATATGGGTTTAGCGGGTTTAGCGGATTTTCCCGCTTTTTCCCGCTTTTGAGCGCTTTTACGCGCTTTTCGAATGCAAAGCGGTTTTCCCCGCTAAACCCGACCGCGACACCCCTCCGCGTAGCGCTGAGGGGCCGCGACCGCGAAAGGCGCCGCTATAGCCCCGCTATCGGTCGCTTTTTACAACACTGATTCAAATACCCCACTCCTAGATCTTTATGTCCGAATGTAATTATGTGTGATGTGGTATCGATTCCCGTTTGAAGATAAAGAAAGTCTCACAATAATCATGTCTACTATAACGGGTTAAGTTTCATAAAAACAATTCTGCTCAGGCTTAACCTGGTTTTGTTCAAAACTTTTCTCACTTAGACATTGAAGGAGTTCTGTGCATAATATATCAATATGCGTGTCCGATATCAAGCTGTAGCATTGAGTTTTAGGTAACTTTAGGTAGGAGAACAATATTTCTAACCGTCTGATAAAATTGTCAATTCATTTTCCCCTTTTCTTTTTATACTGCTGTCTATTTTTCAATTATTCAATTATAATAGGGCTAATTCAGGATAGACCCTCTGAACTATCACCAAATCGTCCTTAATACTGATGTAGTTCAATTGTTGCAGATAGAACCCCTGAAAGTAACCCTTAAATGAAAAGCTATTGTTACAAATAGAACACCCCAACCCTACACTCCCCCCCCCTGGCCCCCACACCACCCACAGGAAATCCGCGGGCTGCCACAGCCGCAAAAGGGTTTTCAGTCAGGAGGTCTATGTGCTGCACTGGAAGCACGGTGGTAGTAAGTTCTCTTTGGCAGGGGATCTATCTGCCAATAACCCATTATAATATAAGTATTGTGTGATGCATAAGTTTTCCTTCTTTCTGCCCTAGCTTTTAACGAGTTCTTTTCTTTGTGGCAAAATATGGAAAAAATCTAAACATTTGTCGGAATTTAAAAAAGAAGACCTAGGATTTTAAATGTGACGCTTTCACCCCTCATTTTCAATTTCTAGTCAACTAATTATCATTTGATTATGTAAGCACCAATTTATGATAATATCATACGTGTTGATATGAAGTATTGATAATTGCAACATAGGACTGTCAGTTTTGCATCTCTGTTAACTCCGTGGAAACTGAATTGGAGGGGCAAACTGTAAATTTCAAAATCCAGGAGGATTTTATGTAAAAAAAAAGCCATATATTTAACCTTGTAGTGTTTTCATTTCAGACAACAACCAAGGTTGCATTCATTTTGATTGGTACAGCCACAATTTTGGCCCTGATTCCTCTCAAGTACCTGGTGTTCTTAGTTTTCCTAGAGGCGTACACTAGGGAGATGCCATTGAGGAAAGCAAATAGTGAGAAGCTAAAACGGCGAATAAAGGAATGGTGGATTCGAGTTCCTGCTGCCCCAGTTCAGCTCATCAGATTTTAAGAGAACCAGAATTCAAAACAACACATTTTTTCTTATATATACTCCTGTAAATTCTCACTCTACAATGAATATCAGTGTAATCTCTTTTCCGATAATGAAGTCCTTGTTCATTATTTATTGACGCTATTATAAAATTTTACATGCCTCTATGCCCCTCTCAAACTAATCAAGTTTCTTTTGGTGCAAGGATGTGTACATCGGTGCACTCTGAAACATGTGATCTTGTCTTACTGCGTCACTTGAAAACTTATTTTGCTGTGCAGTATCACATAGAAACATGAGACATTATATTCTGGATATACGTACGTATCTAATCTTAATGAGGTTTGTTCATATTAGGCAGCCATTTACTTCTTGCTCTCACTTCCACTCCTTTTTCTCTTGAAATTTCTGTCACATATTGGACCGCTATTGTTCTTAAATGAATAAGAAAGGTAGACAACGAGCATCAATCGGGTGAGAAACCTCACAGCTAATGTACTCCTATTTAGGGAGAACAGCAGGGGAGAAAATTCTAAGTATATTGATCATTTTCCATAAGCAATAGGGGTTGCCATCAATTCAATTTTGAGCTTTCTAATTAAATTAGGGTAAAAGTGAAATTCAACATGTGGTTTTCACATGATGTCCCAAATAGATATGATAAATAGTAGTATATTGTAAATGCTAATGAAATAGTTTATGGACGTAATAATATGGCAATATGGCTACAGTCTCATAGCCCAGGAGGTGTTTATTGTAGACA